TCTTTAAATACAGGATTTCTAGAATAATACAAAATAATTGTAATGGCAGACATCGAAATCTGTAACGAGTATAAATCCGCTTGTCTTAGGCCTAATATTAGTTAAGCCTTTATTAAGCCCGGCCTATATTCGATAAACAAATAAATTTTGTACGTATTTTGCTTTAGTTTAATTAGGGTTAAACTTTACCGTACTTAATGCTATCAGTGAATAAACTTATAATGTTAATCTACGACCTAACGTTAGACCTTTTTTAAAAAACTTTGATAAGCTTTTAATATGTTGTTGTACAAAATTTCTAATAAACTAAAGTATATTTGCATCCGCCTTTTGTATATATATATCTGTTAAAATGAAGTATGCCCGTATGCGCATTTAGATAGTAAGGTTCACGTGCATTTTGAACACAAACAAAAACTGTGTATTTTTATAATAGATGAAACATAATGAAAACAAACCAACTTTTCCCCAAGATCGTTGATTTTTCCCCTCTGTGTTTTCATTAATTGTTATATAAGGACAGTCTTAATTGTTAATCAATTCGTGTACGCCACTAATTAAAACAACAACAACAACTAACTAAAGTATTAATTTTAAAACCAGAATAAACATTTACAGGTACAATAAGGGAAAAAATTAAAAATAAGCTAGACATTTAACTTGTTCACTTATTCTGTAGTATTTTTATTTCATAAAACTATTATAAAAGTCTAATGTAAAAGAAATGGTATTCCAGCCAACCTCAGTACATTCTTATATTTGTTTCAGAATCTGCCCACGTGTCTTTTCATGGTAATTAAGAACTACTCGTCTGGACTTTAAAATAATATATAGAGATTTAATCAAAAGAAAAGTTATACTAGTTGTATTATCTTCTGTATGCATTCAAAATATTGAATTTATAACAGTTTATCTCAAGTTAGATCTTCAGAACGTTTTACTTAATATTCTAATTAATTACAAGACTTTTCGGGTATAGGTATGACCTTCTAAGTCACTGACTCTATGATGGAGACAGAAGCAAACGGTGCCGAGGGTGTTTTGTCGCACGGAAACGTCTCTTGCACCAAGTACGGACGAATGTTATTGAATTGAGGCGACGGTCTCTTTTCTTTGCTCTCTATCATGTTCACTATGTCAGAAAAACACGTAGGTTCAAGAAGTCTTTATATAAAATGATAAAAACCCTATAACCCGAGCGTTTTCGAAAGGTGGACTTTTCTTTTTCAGTGGAAACTAATGATAATGGAAAATTTGGCTGGAGATATTCTGGCTAAATCGGAGAATACTTTATTGAAACTTTAGACATTAACAGCACACGCGACCTTTTTCAGCTGTTAAAACCATGGCATCCGAAGATTTCGATAATAAGTTCAAGAGTTTTATTTTACCCTTCCGCTTTATCACAAAAGAAACGATAAGTCTGTCACATTTTATAATTTAAAAATTATGTTATTAATCCTGTCGGTGTTTTTCCAATCCCAGAAAAATGGAGATTAACATTTCAGTTGCATCAAGTAATTGTACCACATTTAAAGTAAAAATTCAGTGAAGCATATATCTTCAGTAAAGACATAAAGAACAGAAAAGTTTATAAGATTTACAATAACGCGCATATTCATTTTGATATTGCTTTGTAATGTTGTACATAAGGCAATAAAACTTTCAAACCTTCTAAATGGGGTTTCATTTTTATGTTTTTATCACCAGATATCCAACTCCACCCTCTGAATTCTAGAAAACAGATTGAAATATCTTACCAGTTAATTCCCCATTACCAGTTAATTTCCCAATTGTTATCTCTCTTACATTAGTATTTGCAAAATGTTCTATACCTTTTTTTAGTTATAAATTGGTGAAGAAAACGTCATTAATTGGTAAAAGAATTGTTCTGTACGGTTTGTTTGCAATTAAGCACAATGGGCTATCTGTGCTCTGCCCACCGCGGGTATCGAAACCGGGTTTCTAGTGTTGTAAGTCCACAGACATACTGCTGTGCCGCTGGAGGGCTGTTCTGTACGGCAGTTTTCCAAAAAGGGGATTTTGAGTTACAAAATTGGAAACAAAAATCAGTGTTGTTTATCCAGGTTGCGTTTTCTTCAGAACAAGCTTTTACTTTTTTTTGGGGGGGGGGGTGGGGATTCGGAATACATTCTTGTATTGGATAAATAGCACAACTTCTTGGAAACGTAAAAGGCAATATTTAACTGTTCAACTCCAGCTTCATTATTTTTTGTAACTTATCTACTATAAAAAATTGGCAAACAATGCCAATTTTCTCCTTTTATTTAGTAAGTGATACATGTATATTCACTAAGCAAAATATAGTCACATGTGTAACTTGAACATGAGTATTTTGTGTGTTCCTTTTCACAGAAACAGAACTATAATTTATTTCAGAAGCGATAATAGAGTATTACATATGTAAATTTGCGCTTTCAGGATTTGTTTCTTTGCAATTAAGCACAAAGCTACACAATGGGCTATCTGTGCTCTGCCCACCACGGGTATCGAAACCCCGGATTATAGCTTTGTAAGTCCGCAGACATACCGCTGTGCCACTGGGGGGTTCAGTGTTGTTTCTTCTTTTTTTTACTGCATAGCATGATCGTGCCAATTAACTGTACATAAGTTTACGTGTGTTCAAAATTCTGTTGACGTTTTATTATTTGTTCTTATTTAGCGTAAAGTTACACAATGGGCTATCTATGTTCTGTCCACCCGAGGAATCGAACCCCGGATTTTAGTGTTGTAAGTCCAACTATAGGAGAGCGTTTTCTAATTTGTTACTTTAAAAAAAGGTCGCAATTTACAAACAAGCGTACTCGGTTAGCCAAAATATAAACTGAATTTTCTTTACTGTGTACATTCGCAAACACTGTGCAATAATGGATAGTGCTATGACAATTACATTTGCTTCAAGGCGATCATTTTTCATATTTTCGAGTGCTATTTAAAACAGTATTATTTTGAAAAAAAATAGTTTAACATGTTTTTAAGTTATGAGATATTTTACTCTTTAGTTTGACCTTTTTTACTTCTCTTTGATTAAATGAAGTATATAGAAAATTAAACATTTTAATTGTACTCAGCTTAGTCCCTGTTTCATTTTAGTCATATAAATGTTTTTGATTGATTTGTAGTTCAACAGTTGTTTCCGGTTAATTTTTAATACAAAAGTTGTTCCCGATTGATTTATGGTTTGTTTGTTTTTTGAATTTCGCGCAAAGCTACACAAGGGCTATCTGCGCTAGCCGTCCCTAATTTAGCAGTGTAAGACTAGACGGAAGGCAGCTAGTCATCACCACCCACCGCTAACTCTTGGGCTATTCTTTTACCAACGAATAGTGGGATTGACCGTCACATTATAACGCCCCCACGGCTGAAAGGACGAGCATGTTTGGAGTGACGGGGATTCGAACCCGCGACCCTCGGATTGCGAGTCGAGCGCCCTAACCACCTGGCCATGCTTCTGCTTGATTTTTAATATGATAATTGTGGCAGGTTATGTTTCTATATAAAAGTAATATCATTCCAAAATTATTTCTTGATTTTTAATATGATAATTGTTGTAGGTTATGTTTCTATACAAACGTAATATCATACCAAAATTATTTATTAAAAAAATCTAATGTAACAACGCCAGCCATAAGTAACAATTAATATAAAGATGTACAAAATGTATCCATTTTCGAGAAGTAAACTGATGTGTTTAAGATTAAATATATATACATACATACACACACACAAACATATATACATATATATGGGGTCCAGTTAGCTTAAGCTGCTTCTTACTTTAGCTGTTTCTTATACCAAGTTTATGAGGTTGACTCTTTAGCCTTTTTGTTGGTCAGATAGTTTGTTGATTACCTCATTTCTTTTATGCGAAATATTTCCTAAATCCAAATTAACATTATATTATTACAGCTACTGACAAAATGATCTTATTTAGCTTGAAAATCGTTTAAGAGAGCTTCGTTACGAGCACAGTATTTACGTACATCTGCCTAATTCATTGTTTATCTATATAAATACAGTAACTAGTTTGCAGAGTGTGAAAAGATATTCACCAAAATTGGTGTGGAGGTTCGGTAGGTCCATGCGGGGGGTACATACAAATTTTTAAGTTTTCATTTTGCGTTTTGTGGTTTTTATGGCCGTTTTTTACCACTACTTCTCCCCTGTTGATGGATCTTCACCAAATTTGGTATGGAGTTTCATTGGGTCCATGGGGAGGTAAATACAAATTTTCAGTTTCGTGTTTCGTAGTCTTTATGGGCGTTTTTTTTACAATTACATATAAGGGAAGCAACTCTTTTCATTTCTTAATATAACCTTTCATTAATCATGAATTTACACAACTTCCGCCCACTTGAGATGGACTCCTAGCCCGCTTGGGAGTCAAGGGGACAGGTACTCCAGCTAGTATAGATATTTAAGTTCGGACAACCTGTATATATTGTTTTATATCTATTATGTATAGCCTGTATAATCTAGTCATAAGATTGTGTTTGTGATGTGTATGTGTTTGTTTTCTATCAATGAAATATTGTTTATCGAGTTGAAGATATACTATATACATGCCCTCGAAAAGAAAACTCTTACGTCATACGTCGAAATCAAGATTCAATATCTCATAAGTTTAGCGAAGAACAATTCTGTGAAAGTAACTATTGTTTGCCTTCTCGCTTGGTTTCAAATTCTGTCTACTTATACATACTCACCTGAAGTTTGTGTTTCTTACTGGCTAGCATTGCTATTTTCACCTCAGCTTTCTTAATTACGTGTTGATACTGTTTCCAGACAGTTAGGACGTACCTTTATTTAAGTAGTTGTTTTAAATTATTTTATTTCCTTCTGAGTTATTTTGTTAAATCTAAGAACGTCGAAAAAAATACACACTTATTTACCCCAGCTAGTGGTAGGCTCAGTATGTTAGCTTATCCAGAAAAACTTTACGGTTCACAAAGTAGGCACAGAATAATGACTTCTTCAGAATGATACTGTATACCAATCACGATGGTAGGTTTGTAACATTAACTTCTTCAAGAAGAAATGCGAACCTCAATGTATCATTATTCAATTCGCAACTTACCACTAAGTTAGACCGTTTCAGGGGATTTCTTCCCTGGTCTATAACCATAAACAAAGGCAAAGAAAAAACACCAGTCTTTGTATTGTGGTGAGCTATTATATATGATGATTTTTTCCCTTTTGTACTCACCATACTGAGCCTATAGTTATACAGGATTAGATGCTATTACTTTCTTGTAGATTATTAAGCACGCATACTGTTTAGTATTAGTATGATGCATTCTACTTTTTCTAGGGGTAAAACTGTTCTTTTCACCGAGGTAAGTTCAGAACAGTGGCTTCTTCGGTAGGTTAAAACTCCACGAACTACAGAGATAGAACAATAGCTTCTTCAGTAGATTCAAACTCCATGTATTACAGAGAGAGAGACTCAGAACAGTAGCTTATTCAGTAAGATAAAACTCCACGGATTACAAAGAGAGAATCAGAACAGTGTCTTATTCAGTCGGTTAAAACTCCACAGATTACATAGATAGACTCGGAACAGTGGCTTCTTCAGTGGGTTAAAACTCCACGGGTTACAGAGATAGATTCAGAACAGTGGCTTCTTCAGTAGATTAAAACTCTACGGATTACAGAGATAGATTCAGAACAGTGGCTTCTTCAGTGGGTTAAAACTCCACGGATTACAAAGAGAGACTCAGAACAGTGTCTTATTCAGTAGGTTAAAACTCCACAGATTACATAGATAGACTCGGAACAGTGGCTTCTTCAGTGGGTTAAAACTCCACGGATTACAGATAGTGAAAGAGAATTAGTTTCGTCTATAGGATGAAGTTACGATGGTCGCAGGAAGTACGGTCAAAACAATGGCTCCTTTGGGTTTTTGAAACTATACCAATTACCGGCTTAGAGGACGATAAAAAACTATACACGTTATGAACCTGTCTTTGTAATCGGGAGAGATTTAACATCTTGGAAAAGTAGCAAGTAAAAACATCAAAGAAATATAAAGCATTATAGTAGGAAAGTGTATCTTTATTATTATTATTATCATTAAACTGAATTAAAGCGGAATATGAAGAACATATGAAGCACATGAAGTTTAGTAATTAGTCTTTCTTCAACAACATCGGGAAAACGACAATTTCTTTAACTTGTATGTTTTAATAGGTGTATCTTCCTTACTGTTTATCGTAGATAGAAGTACTCACCCTTTCTAAGTGTATTAAGCATCCAGCTGGCACACATGACCTGGAATATGGTGTTTTTGGTGCCAAGGAGTGAACGACTACAGATATACGACACAGTTTTGATCCTGTTCATGATGTTGCTTCAGGTCATTAAAATACATGAATTGATGTCATGTGGTTACTCAATGTCAATCATTTGTTGTTGTTGTTGTTTGCCTAGAAGTTTCGCTCAAAGCTTCGCAAGATCTACCTGCGTACAGCCATGCCCAATTTTGAACTAATAGACCAGAGGGAAGACAGCTAGTCAACATCACCTACCGCCAAATATTTGACTACTCCTATCAGACTAAATAGTGGGATTTGATTATCACTGTTATAGCCCATCAACGACCTCAAAGTACGGAGCGTATTTTTGTGGCAACAGGACGCGAACCAGGCATCATTCGATTCATGGTTCGGGCACATTAACAACTTAGCACCGTTCGACATCTCTAACAGATGATAAGGGCGAAAACTCCGAAGGAGGGACATTTAGTAACAAAGAACAGTTTTTTTGTTTTTTTATGGCCTTGAGTAACATAAACCGGCACACATGACCTAAAAGAAAGTTGTTTTTGGTGTCAAATAATGGTTTGTTTGTTTTGAATTTCGCGCAAAGCTACACGAGGGCTATCTGCGTTAGCCGTCCCTAATTTAGCAGTGCAAAACTGGAGTGAAGGCAGCTAGTCATCACCACCCACCGTCAACTCTTGGGCTACTCTTTTACCAACTACTCTTTGACCGTCACATTATAACGCCCGCACGGCTGAAAGGGCGAACATATTTGGTTGGACAGGGATTCGAACCCGCGACCCTCAGATTGCGAGTCGAGCACCTTAACCACCTGGCCATGCCGGGCCCATGAATGAATGGAAAAACCACTGACAAAAATTTGTATTTAAAATAAAATAACTGCGTAAGCGAGGAAATTACAAAATGTAGAAGAAAACAAAGAAGGTGAGATACTCACCAAATTAAAATAAGTTATTGACGAATTCAAAACAATGTTTCGAATAACAGCCTTTTAGAAGAGATTTGGCGTAAGAAAAAGAACGCGAGGCTCGAAGGCTTTTACTTGTTTGTTGTTAAATACAATGTGGTCTGCCAAGGCCGGGTATCGAAACCAATTTTTTTGCGTTAGAAGTTCTCGGATTTATGGCTAAGCCACTGGCGGCAGCACATAGGTTCAAGAACAGATTCCTAAACTAAATAGAACAAAGAAAGATTGTAACGGCCTAAAATTAACACGCCGCTACAATCAGGGTTCAACATCAAATACACAATTTAGTCACGATAACAACACTTAGAAATAAATTCGACACAATTAACAAACAAGTGTCTGGCCAGGACTTCTCACCATTATTAATTCATAAATCAATAATAATGGAATCGGGAAAAAAACAAAAAAAATACAATATTCAAAAAATACCTTTAAATAATAATATCGAGTGACAAACAGCAATAAAACTCTCTCACTCTCTTAGTGAACCTTCTAGCAGAGTATTTTTATTCACATACTCTTCTGCTATATTAATAACATCTTTACGTTAACGCCAGGGAAGCTGGTGTAAGTTTTATCATACACACATATATGTATATTTACTCCAAATACAAATGATTATGTAGAAGGTGAGTTAGCGTTTTAATGCAACAAAAAATTCATTGATAAACTAAACGATAGAAGGAAATCATAAATGAATGATAAACACAATCATAAAAAAACAGAATTTGCCATCTCACCAGATTATGTTAGGAAAACATGTGGGTTCAAGAAACCAATTTAACTCAAAGATACTATTATATCCTTTAACCCGAGCGCTTTCAAAAGATGGACCTTTCTTCTTCAGTTTCTCCATGAGACAGATATGATAAGTAATAAAAAAAGTAGTTGAGTAAAAGTAGAAGAAACAAAATATGATGAAAAAAGGCAGTAAATTAGAGTAATGACCTATTGGCCCAAATAACTAAATAAACTGTAAAAAATAACTAGAACATGAATAAAGGCGACAAATTGGTTAGATATACAAACAATAAGAACATAGAAACATGAGCGAATGAATGCATGTATTATCCAGCGAGATACAAGAAAGATATTGTAACGCATACAGAACGCTTGGATAAACGTTTGATTTTTAAAATAGGCACTATTAACTCCTTTGGAATAAACAAAGAATTATCATTTTTTTTAACTTTGTACGATTTCCCATCTTTCCACTGTCTCTTATACCTAGCCAAGTGGTTAGGGCGCTCGACTCGCAATCTGAAGGGCGCGGGTTCGAATCCCCGTCACACCAAACATGCTCGCTCTTTCAGCTGTGGGGTCAATCCCACTATTCGTTAGTAAAAGAGTAGCCCAAGAGTTGGCG